GGATGAGCCGGGGCATCAGGCCACAGCAAAACTCACCCGAATCAAAGCTTTTTATTCAGCACACAAAAATCCCCAAACCTAAACTTACAACACTAAATTCACACTCAAGAGACCAAAAAGCCACTGCATCGTAGAGGAAAAAAACCTCATTCAAGAATGAACAGGTGGGTTTGCTCCTCCATTGGTTTAGCCTCTCATGGGTTAAGAGGCATTGCCATAGGAAACAGATCCTCGGTGTAACTTGATCCAGGCGATATGTTCAAAGAATCTTCAACACCGCCCTCCTCAGGTTCCTTTTCTGCTGATACCTCGCTGTTGTGGCCACCAAATCAGCCAGAAGCAGAAATTAATATCAGAAATGCTATTTCAAGGACAATCTTTTGACCACTGTTTTTTTTACAAGTTTGATCCATACCTGTCAATATGAATGTTCTGACAATCTTGAGGTTTTCCTGTGCATGAGCAAAGCTGGCTTAAAGAATCATCAAGGAAATTAGGCAGTGAATCACCTTCCGGTTTCTCAATGTCTTCCTTGGTGCCAAGACCTCCCAACTCTTTCGGGTCACAATCCAGGATGCAATCGCCGAATATATGAGTTGTTTTTGGGTTTGGCCCATGAGAAATGATACACGTATAATCCTCAGAGAGTGCCATCTCACGGCCAGAGAGAGAACGAGAGTAGGCCTGGCTGGAGATAATATCCATAGGAGATGAGCTTGATCTCCTTGGGGAGTTACGTTCTTCCACAACAGTTGTGTCCCAGACATCAGTGATTGAGTCACGCATATTAGATTGAATGTTTATCGCATCAGACAATGAAGCGGCGGAGAAGTTCTTAGGCAACGAATTAGATTTGACACAAGGATCATCAAACAGTTTGCTAGAACGCTCGGCTCTTCTATCAACATTGACCTTGATTTGAGGGGCAAGGACAATGTTTTCCCTTCTGAATGAATCACTCTGACCACCCTCATCTCCAATGCTGGAAGCCATGGAGCTTAGAACAGAAAGACCAATTTTGTCACAAACCCATTTGTTCCGCTGGCTAAATCTGGGCGATGATGGAGCGGGAGACCTGGGGCTAAACAGGCCACCAAAGTTTGCAAAAACTCCAAAATCAAGGGGAGAAGTAGGGCTCTTTCCCGCGTCAGAGTCATGCGTTCCTTTGGCCCCAAATCCAACAAAGAAGCCAGGGATGCTAAAGAGCGGGGCGCTAATGTGCTTCAGATCCACCAAATCAGATGTATCTGGAACAGCCTCAGCCTCAGCCATTATTAGTTCATCAACGAAATGATTAAGCTGATGAGAATTCATTTCTCCTGGATGGTTCGCAAGAAGTCATTCCTACAAAAACACAAAAACTTTTCACTCAAAATTCAAGTATGTGCGGAGTAAGATCAAACAAGCACCATTCCGAGAAGAAAGGGGACATGTGTGAGATAAGAAAACAGACAGAGACAATCCAAAGTTGTCGATAGCAAAACAAAGACAAAATTTGAATCTTTTCTTTATCTGGTTCAGAAATGGCATCTAATAAACACACTTGTCAAATATGCACAAAGAATCCCAGAAAATTCCAAAATTGAGAGCCTACCATCAATCAATCAGCCAACACAAGAGAAGTAAACAAAACTCCCACATTCAATTCAATCCACATAATCTATTCACGGAATGATGAAGATCATGCGAAAAGAATTTCAACCTAAATCCCGAAACCCAAGAGGAAGAATGAACCTAGACACTTAGATGAATGAATGTCGCAGAACAAGAGTAGAAATTGATCGGACAAGATTCAAATCGGGTAATTAAGCATATAATCCCAAGTACAAGAAGAAACAAAAAGAGTTGGTTTCTACTCGATGAACATAAACTAGTCAAAGCCAAAGGTGTATCAACGACTGGTAGTAACTGTGTACAAGCAAATATACCCGTAGAGAAATAGCGATTGAGATGATCAAAGTAGTTTCAAATACCATGAATCAAGTGGTACAGATCAGAGGAGAGACAAATGCAGGTGCACGATTTTTCCAAGTTGAAGAAAATATCAAATGAGGAATGAGTGAAAGAGAGAGAGACGAATTTGGGG